ATAAATTTTATATATTATACTTATATAAATTTTAACTATTTATCTTTCATTCAACTATCGATAATTGAGATTAATTTATATTTATTAAAAATAATTATTTTTTTACTTCAAAAATATAGTAAATCTCAATTGTTAAAAGTGAAAAAATAAATGATTAAAATGTTATATAAATGTAATGTGTAAAATCTATATATAAATGAATTCCTCTTTTAAATAAAATGTTTCACTTAAAATTTTAATGGATTCTTTTCACCAATAAGTGCTTGAATTAATTTGATATATATCTATCATAAAAAATATATTATCGTTTGAATTATTTTAAATTACAAAATACAAATTTTTGAATGAGAATGGTTTCTAATATCAAGACTCTTCTATTTACGTATCCTTGCTTTATGGTTTAAAATAATTTAAATTATAAAATCACAAATTATATATATATTTATTTAGTGTTACATGAATTTCATAGTGTGATGAGATGGGATTGCGACTGAATCAACTCCGGAAAATATAAATCGTAGTAGGTTTTAAGTAGGGATATTTGAATGTGATCCTTACCAGGCCGTGATCACCTTTTGGGATTAGATGGATCTAATGTTCTTGTTTTTAATCAAAGACATTATAATTGGTCGGTAAAGCATCTTTTGATGGTACTACAGGCTGTTTTTCCCTTCTTTTTTTTTCCCAACTTATATTTATTTATTTATTTGTGACAAAAAATAATACAATATTAAATTAATATTTATTTTTAAAAAATCAAATTTAAGATTTAATCTACTAATCGAAATGTATTTCACCTACTTCTAATTATTTTAGAGAAAAATGACCGCTGTTGCAGTCAAATGGGGAATGCTTTTCAACTTATATTTAATATTAAGAGAAGGAGCATAGATTACGGAATGATCAATTGACAACAAAATGCAGGGAAGCAGAGACCAAAGAGTAAGATGAATAGTGAGTGTTAATTAAAAAAAAAAAAAAACAACAACAACAAAAACGAGTGGTCCTCCTTGATGAATTCCCTACAGGAGTGATGAGGTAGGCAGATGGACAAATTAATGTACCTTCAGAAAAAAATTAATGTGCCTTGAAAATTGAAATTGCAAATAAGCAGTCAATTTAGGAAAAAGATTTAGTGAAAAAGACACATGAAATGGAAATTCATAACCTGATAACATTTTGAGTAAAAATTTATGCACTTTTAAAAAGCTCATCTTCAGGAGTCGAATCCAAAAAGGAGTGATATGAGATTTCGAGTGGTCACAATTCACACTAAGCCCTTTTTGAGGGTCTCTTTAATACATGTATTAAAATGTTTTAAAATTATTTAAGACATGTATTAAGGTGCTTTAAAATTATTTCATACTTATAAGAAAAACTTTTTTAATTCTAAATAAAATGATGTATATGAAAACTTCATACTAGTTTAATAACTTTTAACTTAGGCTAAAATCCACTAATCTTTACAAAAATTAAATTTAAATCGTTAATAATAGTTGGTTTTCACATTTGCATCTTACTTACAATCATTTTCTTCTTTCCAAATGAAATTAGGGTATTATAATTGTGGGACCAAAGTAATTAGGTTTAATGGGGAAGAAAGGGCTATGACCTACTTTGTGGTTGGAGAAAAAGCTGATGCTGAGTAATGTGCTCCCACAATATGATGAGCAGAGAACACCTAAGCTTTTTCCAGAAGTCATCACATTACAACAATAAAATCCAGCTAAGATCTATTTAAACCTAAATTATTTGCACAGAATGTGCATTTAACTAATAAGATTAAGTTGAACTTCCTAGCTAGGCCCTTTGGATTGAACTCGTAGTATAATCAATCCAAAGGAAAGTGTTATATAATTTCATAATCATCATCAATGTTCCAGCAATCATCTATCTCCATCACTCTCCCTTAATAATGTGTAACAACACTTATATATATAATTATAAAGCTAAGTGTGACCTAAGGAGTTGCAGCTTAATTAATAAAAATATTTGCATTTTACCTTATTAATCAAGGTTGAATTCATTGTAAAGAGTAATTAAGAGGTAATCTTTTATAAATTCTCTAATCTTGACATAAATTACTTGTCTTTAACTGAATTAAAGAAGCATAAGTTTCAAAATACATACAAACTAATCTAGGAACACTACCTTGACCTTAAAACAAACAATAATGATAATAATAAAGAAGCAGCGTATATGGCACATACGCTAACACAAAGTTGTAATAAACAAATGAAGCTGTGCTAAACTAATTTAATAGGAAACTCATGGTAGAAGAGATGAGGGCCAGTTTACAGATCCTATCATGTGCTCCAAATCAAATATTCATCAGCTGTCCCAGCTGTGCCCTAGGCCGATACTCTAGTTCTTTAGTAAGAGTACTAAGAATGGCAACATACTCTAAATTGCTGCCAAAACCTTGCTGTGTCGGCAGGTTAGTCCCCCCCTTCACCCCTTCATTCTATTCAGAATATATTCACAGGGCGTTAAATTTTTTTCTTTTTACATATTGATCCAAATATGAAACCATATATGGATGAGATTTTATCATAACATTTAGTCTTGTCATTGGTCACACGATGCGTATAGCATAGGCATCCCAAGAAGTGAGTGTATCAACTGTGGAGGGATTTGTGGTTTTAGCACTTACTATAAATTAATATCAAATGCTATTCTTAGGAATATGAGGAAATTTGTTATTGTTTGAAGAATTCCGTGTGTAAAACGAAAATATTTAGGTCGTGAGGAATTTTTTTTTTATTTTTTTGGGTATTACGGTTAGAGCATTATGAAACAAATTTTAATATAATTTGAAATTAATTTCTTCTCAAACAATATTAAAGATCCATCCCTAGGACATGTGGTATTGGAATTAACTAATATGAAAGGAAATTTTAGAATATTTAGGAATTCTTGATAACGTTATATTTTTTTTCCCGTGTAACCTTTATGTGCCAACCTTTTTGGCAGAAGAAATTCTTGAATCCAGAATGAAACTAGATTACAATGTATTGTATTTTCTCAAATTAAATTAAGGAATGCTGCTAAAAGAATGAGGTAGTAGAGGCCGGTACAAGCATGTTGAAGGATTAGCAATTTAGAATAGATGCTGCATTTAACCTTTCGGGGATTTGCTCATGATAGGCAATGGTTGTCTTTGTTGAGAAAATGAGGTTGGTATTTAAAGTGTCTCTGTATTGTGATGAATTGATTGGATTTAAATTGTAGTGCTCTGGTTTTTAGGGTTGACATTTTACTTTCATTAAAAAGCTAGAGATCAACTGAAATATTAGTGTTGGCAAATTATTTTGTAAATAATTTGAGATTTTAAGAATAAATATAATTTATAACTTTCTAGAAATCCTTAATTATTTTACCAAAAGAGAAAACTTCATTGAAATGAATTCTTTTATATTGATTTTTTTTTTAAATCACAGAATTCCATTAAATAAAGAGAGTGATTCTTTTATATTGTTAGGTATGTAATTTGCATTAAGACTTCTCATTAAAATATCACATATTGTTTGGTATATTGATAGGTTTCTTTTTCTTTTTTCATTTTTTTTTTTTTTGGGTGTATAAGAAAGCAAATATGGATGAGCTTGTCATAACCCCTCATTGGCACTATGTGTATTGCATATCATCACGAGAAATATGTGTATCAATTGGCAAATGATTTGGGGTTTGAGATTTTCTATTAATTTAGGTTTAGGATGTGAGGAATTAAAGGTGAATAAAAAAGGTGCAGAGGTGGTGGTCTGTTCAAGAGATAACCCAAAATACTATTCTATTTGGATATGAGATATTGGAGTTAATTAACATTATAGTAAAATTTAGAATATTTTAAAATTTTAGAAGTTTAATGTTGTTCAGCTTCGTATATTTTCGGGTCATCTTGTTTTCTGGGAGTGAAAGATTTCGTTCAACTACTTCATGAATATGAGAAATCAAATGTCTTCATCACCAACTATGGTAATAGGGTTTCCTTCTCACACTTATTTGGAACTTGAAAAATAAAATGTGTCTACCACTCCTTCTTTAATGCGGAAGTCTTCTTGTCTGATGCCAAATGTGTGTCTGCTTGATAACCATGTTTTGTAAGGTCTTATGGTTATGGTAAGTACTCAAATTTAGAAGGAAAAAAAAAAGAAAAAAAAAAGAAGATAGTAATGAAAAACCATCTCTTTTATATGATAATAAAAATTTGTCAAACCAACATGTAAGTTCAAGTTTTATAAATAAAAAAATAAATGTTGAAAGTTTTTCTTTTATAAGGTTTGACGCGGTTGAACTTCAGATTAATTATATCCAATATAACTTTCAAATACCAAGAGATTAAAATAAAAAAAAAAATTGTATGTAGAATGAGTGGAGATTTTGAATATATTCTCTTAGTTGATTTAAATAAAATAGGACTACCATAATTATTTCTAATTGATTTTAAACACAATGCCATTTATAATGATACCAGAACTCAATACTGTTCATATTGCATAACCAGTTGTGCCATAATCGTTCATATTATTATCATTGTATATTCTGGGAATAATAAGTAAAATGACATCCATTCTAAGATGTCTCATTGTCTAAAAAATTTGTTTTGATTGAGAAAACATAATTGCGGGTCAAGATGTTTGGACGTAGCATATATGCAACTGCATTTCTCATGAAATTTAGAGATCTTTATCCGGAGAATTAATACAAGTTTCGTCCACAGCGGTCACAGGTAGTTGATGTAGCTGCAGAGACCTTTTCTGGCTTGTCCTTCTGCATCTTTGGTAGATCATGTTCCAGAACATCTTGCAGCACCTTTGACCCTTCTTGAAGCTCATCCAAACTGAAAACATAGGTTTAGGTAACACATTAAACATCACATATTTATTCAGTGGTTAACATTCTATGAAAGGCCTAGCCAACAACAACATGTGCTGGCAAATGTTTGAATCTTCAGTTGACATGAAAGTAAGAGGTTAAAACAAGAATGCCTCGCCTTCTTACCTCATGTTGAGTGGGGGAGTCAACCGGACAATGGTGTCATGCGTGGGCTTGGCTAGAACACCTCTATCTTTCATCCTTAGACAGATATCGTATGCTGAAATGGGGAACATTGCCCTACTGTTGAACTCCACAGCATTGAATAAACCTCTCCCTCGAACTTCCTTAATGTAGTCTGGAAATTTGCTCTGAATCTTAAGCAGCTGATGCCTGAGTTCTTGTCCTAAATGGGCAGATCTGTACAAAGGAGGTAATTAAGTAACAGTCTAGGCTTCATTTGTTCCACTAGACCAAGATGGGTTGGGGAGAGGGGGAGGGACAACAAGAGGAGAATAGATGACAGCAGCTACTGATTAGCAAGAGGTTAAAGCACTCAGCTAAACCCTTTAGAAATCAGTTCTTTAAAGGGTAAAAATCTCAGAACAGTACCACATTAATCTCTCAGATTATAATAGGCTCAGATGCAATTAAACTTTAAACGGGATTTATTACCTCTCAGCAAGTTTCTCCTCCTGGATTACATCTAGCGATGCAATGGCAACTGCACTGGCCAATGGGTTTCCACCAAAGGTGCTGGGAACAGAGAATTAGGAGATAGTGAAGAAAATCAATTGAGAGATGAACAAATAATATGAAACAGAAAACCAAAAACAACTTAAATAATCATTTCAGAATAAGTCATCACTAAAAAATACTTAATGCAGGCCAAGAATTCCTTCAGGTTAGTTCATTGACTCATTATTTTTTGTAAATAAAATGCAAATTGTAACTAAAAAGATGACAGCAATTTTATATGAAGTTGTTCCATTGCATTTCCAACTCCAAGATATCAAGAACTTATAAGGAGATGCATTTGCATTGAGTTTCTACAGGAAAAATCTCTAGAATCATATTTTCTCCTTCCAAGTTTATCAATCTAGAGTTTCGATGGAGACCTTGAAACCCAGTTAAAGGATACATGATCTCAGTAATTGAGTGATGCAGAACTTTATCAGAACTTGCTTGGATGCATGCATATGTGTGCATGTATACAGCATAATGTTTCCATTTGTCAATGCGCATGCATGGATATGTATGGACATGTAGGTCAAGGAGGACTCGAAATGCAAAGAGGGAGATAATAAATAAAATATTATATCCGCAAACCTTCCATGCTCTCCAGGTCGGATACAAAGCATTACATCCTTATCTGCAAGCACTGCACTTACAGGCATCACCCCACCACCCAGTGCTTTTCCTAGTATCTGACCAAATCAGTTACAAGAAATATTCAGAAGTATGGAAGAGAGGCTGAAAATATGGAAGTTACTTCACTATGTCAATCACCAGCTCTCAGTAGGGATACAGTCAGAACTTTTAAAACACTGTTTAAAAAATCAATATATCATTTAGCAATACATAACCAGCAAAACAGATAGTTTCCAATGGTATCAACTAGTTTTGCAGATAACAATTTTAATCGAACTTAAAAATATTTTAAACATAAAAAGTAAATTTGTTAATTGGCCTACAAAGTTTAACTAATCTCATATCCAATTGATGCATTACTAACAAGGAGAAGATAAACTGAAGTAGTTTTTAGAACTCAAGACAATGTAAGGAAGGCACAACTACAATTTCATTCTGTTGTTTCTAGTTGACATCCTTTCTCATAAGTTGTGGCCATCAAACTAAGTTTTTATCATACCGTGTCAACTGTCCAACATGGTCTGGGTGGTTTGTATCCCATTCTGGAAATTTGGTTATTTCTAGGGCTTTATTGAATTACAAAAAATTCCTCTAGGAAGCAATTTACGTCTGCAGAAGAACACTATATACAAAAGTTTTGGAAAGGGCAAGAACTAATTTAGACTCATCAGTTATTATCTACTGGTTAAGTTAACAAACAAGATTAATACAAAAAAAACCAAATTAGTACATTCATATCCAATTATGGGGAAATCTCAGCAGAAGTTAAAATAATTAAGGTGTGCCTTACAACTACATCTGGCCGAACTTCCTCCCAATCACAAGCCAGCATTTTTCCTGACCGAGCTAAGCCACTTTGTATTTCATCAGCAATCATTAGAACATTATATTTTGAGCAAAGATCTCTGACAGCTTTTAAATAACCATCTGGAGGTATTATAACCTAACACATACAAAGTAAAAAAGAAATGATTTTCAGCAACATACAGATATAGAAATAATATCCTTCAGGTTAAGAATTGGAATGGTTTCATCCCTACAAAAGAGCTTGAAACTAAATGAATCTAGATCTAGATAAAATTTATTAAAAAAATAAAAAAAAATAAAAAAAAAAAGAAGAAAACATGCTCAATTTTTTTTCCCCATTCAGGACTATTACTGATGACCTTGTTCCTTAAAGAAAATGTGCTCAAATGCAAGGAAATCATTTCATGGCCCCAACAATCAGACATCAATTCAACAACTTACCCCAGCCTCTCCTTGAATGGGTTCAAAAAGAAATCCAGCAATACGGTCTCCATGTTCTGCACTCATAACAGGAACACATAATGGGTTTTCTCAAACATACATCATTAGCAACCTTAGCAGAAAAGGAGATCACAGAGAAATGTCAACCACATCACTTCAGAATGAATGAAGCCCTTTATGAAAAATTTGGATATAACAAAAACAGAGTAAAAGTCTAACACAAGCAAACCTTTAAAGATCTTCCCAAGAGCAATTTCATCTCCAAAATCAACTTTCATATGGCCAGGCAACAAAGGCCCGAACCCACGAGTAGCCTCATTGTCACAGCTCATAGAGATGACAGCTAATGTACGACCATGGAAGCAGCCACAACAAGAGACGATAATTGCCTGCACAGAGCTCAGTTTGAGAAAAGGATCAAATGGACATACTCCACCAGGCCTTAAGAAATTGCAGGTCACCAGAGTAGAGAAGCAAGATGATATGATAAAAACTAATCTACAACATCAAATTATGAAACTTAAAGACTTGATCCAATCATAATAATCCCCTTTTCTTACACAAAATGGATCAAACAACCTGCTCAGCCAGGCCTTAAGACATAGCAGGTTACCAGACTAGAGAAGCTCAAAAATAAAATAAAATAAAATAACAGAATCATTTCCTAAATTTTCATGAGAAAGAAATCTAAGCTATGATATCAAATCATGAATCTCAAAGATTTGATCCAATCATAGCTTAGTTATATTCATAACTACCTTTTCGTTCACAAATATAATTAATTCTCACTGGTATCTAATTCTGGCTTTTACCTTATCTTTTGGAATTTTTTTCTTTTCATAACCCCATTTTCTTGCCAACTTCAAAGCAGTTTCCACACCTTCAGCTCCAGTGTTCATGGGTAGCACCATGTCATAGCCAAACATGCTAGTTAGATGCTCAGCAAATGTTGGAAATTTGTCATTGTAGAAGGCTCTGGAGCTGAGAGTGAGTCTTTCTGCCTGTTCTTGCAATGCTTTTATTATCTTTGGATGGCAATGTCCCTACAGAAGGAGGCTATGGTGATTAAAACTAAGGTTCATGTCAAAATCAAACCCACATAAGGTGTTATATTGGCCAATACAACAAGAAATTGAAAATCCAGGATTTTATAAATTGAATTCACCCTTTTAACCATGGCTACGGGCCAATTTACCCATCAACCATATTTACCTGATTGACAGCAGAGTAAGCTGATAGAAAATCAAGATACTTTTTGCCTTCTGGATCCCATATGGTCGCTCCCTTGGCTTGAGAAAATACAATAGGAACAGGATGGTAACTGTACCAGAACCAGAAAAGTAACTTTGGTACGGATATCACAAAAACGCCCAAAATCTCATAATGCATATACAGAAACCATTGGCAAAATACTCAATTTGAAAACTTTAATTGTATAAAACAATCGCCAAAAGCAAAGAGCCTATAAATTTCCACCACATGGTGTTAAGTGTATTAAATGATTCAGCAGTAGTCTTGGTATTCACCCTCCACCTGTGATGGTTTAAAAACCTTCAAAACCAAGCAAAGTTCAAGTTTTGAAAGCAGAAAAGGAGAACAAAATTTTTGGGAACTCTAATCACATTTCCCAGATAAAAGGCCTCTCTCCTATATAGAGTTTTCATTTCAGATGTGAAGCTACTTTTCAATAACCAGAGAGTAATATATAGACACAAGACAAAACATTTAAAGCTTCATCCTTAGCATTATGAATGCATTAAGTTCTACTGTGATTAGGACCCAAGATCCAACAGAAAACTAGGTATCTAAGAATTCAGTCCCCCAACCTCTACAAACTCTGATATGCAAACAATTGGTTGGAACAATTTATCATAGAAAAAATTGTCTTACATATTCAATCATTCAAGAGAAAGACGAAAAAAGGGACAATCTTTCAAGCTAATATAAAAATAAAAAAAAATAAAAAACCAGAAGCCAAAATATGAAAATGAATCGAAATTTCAGAATTCTTGAATCATAGAATCAAAATTAGAGAGATAGAGAGAGAGCTGACTTGTGGGCACTGCGTTCGTATTCAAGGTTGATTAGGTCCTGCGATGCAGAAGAAGACAAAACCGAGCTGCCTTCGGGCACAGCACCGTAGCTCCTCCTGGTTCCCCGACTGACTCTGCCCAAGAAAAACTGTAGCGGTCTCCTAGCGGCAGCCATTTCCGATCAAACGAAGGGCGCTGTTACCTCACTTGGGTACCCACAGTATTATCGCCGGTAAAGTGTCACTTTTTGAGAATCGGAAAATAGAAAAAGTACAATTCGCGCTTCGGTGAGCTTTATCCTCAATATATAAAGCAGCACGCGCCACATGGGACTGTGTCTATTTATTTGTTGGGTACCATAAGTTTATGCACTGAATTACACCTCGATGCAGAAAATCCAGTGTTGCAGGTTGCAGGTTGCAGGTTGCAGGTTGCAGCTAAAACATTAAAGCTGCCAAAATCAGCCCTTTTCACATGGCGTTTTTAAAATTTTTTAAGGGTAAAGTTGAATCTTTCCTATCAGGGAAGAACTAACTAATAATTTTTTCTTTTTAACATATTAAAATTACTTACACGTATTAATCTTTCACATAAATGAATATTTTTTTTTTTTGTTCCCGCCCGGTATTTGGGGTTTCGTCCCGACTATTTCGGATTTAATCATGACGCACTAGAATGGTGGATGGGTCTCCCAACGAAAACTGCTGTATACACAAGTTCTCGAGTCTTAAACTAGAACAAACCATTTGCCACTTGATCCAAACCCTCGTTGGTACATAAATGAATACTTTTAACTTAGAGTTCATGTTACTTATCTGGAATGAACTATTTAATAATTTATTAGTTTAAATACGAAAATTTTGATTTTTTTAAAAAATATTAAATTTAAATATTGTAAATAAAAAAATAAATATTAATAAACTTTCTTTTTTACCTAATTCCACACACGATTTAGATTATTCAGATCCAATATCCCTGTCAAATAGCAAAAGGTTACTAAAAAAAAAAACCTAGAGAAGAAGCGTTGTCCAATGGTAAGTGATATAGTAAATTGGTTGGTGTAATAATTTTATTTAATTTAATGAGTAAAGGATTTTGAATTATTTATCATAAAGTTAGATGAAATTCTTAGTTTTTAATTTGAAATAGTTATACCAAACATTCTCAATATATTATTAGTTTTATTCACTCATGTATTTATTTATTATAATATTATATATATTTATTTAATAATACATTATATTTATTTATTATCAAATTATAATGATAAATTTATAATTTTATATAAAAAAATCACAACCGTTGAAGGGGAGGGCCCAATATCTCCCCTCCCCCTGTTTGTAACACAAGATTCTGATTTTATATAATATTATAATTATAATAATGTCTCATTTAATTTAATGCAATAAAGAGTAAAAAGAAGTTATAGATGGAGAAGAGTTTTAAACGTGTGGTTAGTGTTTTTGGATCAGTGTTTTTGGGCCCGGCCCGGCCCGGCCCGGCCGGTTGAATCGGTTGAACCGGACCCGGGCCTAAAAACGGGCCGAGTGCATACCTTGACCCGTTTTACCAATTAACCCGTTCTAACCCGCCATAACCCACCCAACCCGTTAAACCCGCTCATACCGCCTAACCCGCCGGGCTGAGTCCATTAAGCTTTTCTAATGTTAATTAAATTAATTTTTTATTTTTAATATAATTTACTTATTTTATTCTATTTTCTTATGTTATTACAATAAAAATCATATATTTAAATT